TAAATCCCATGAATATCCATTAAATCCCCTTAATCATTATATTTAGATGTTTAGATGAGCTATTATGACCTCACTGCGACGTCACTGAAATGATGGTTTGTATGGATTCATCCTCAAATAGCAGCTACTTTTAGGTCAGTGAGTTATAAACAGCTCCAGATTAATCATGATATTCATTTATCTTAAAAACTTATACATACGTACATACATACATACATCCACACATCCATCCATCCATCCATCCATCCATCCATCCATCCATCCCTCCGTCCGTCCATCCATCCATCCATACATACATACATACATACGTACGTACGTACGTACCTACATACATACATACATACATACATACATACATACATACATACACACACCCTTAATATCCCATGAATATCCCATCATCATCAATATTTCACTAATATCACTGTCACATCAAAATTCCAGCATCATAAATATCCTATTGATATCCCATAAATGTCCCATTACTGTATTATATATTATACCACCCTATACCATGGGAAAAACTAACATAAACGTCCAAAATTCATGAGGTTTCCTCGAAGGATGATCTACATTCTGGATTTTCGACACCTATGTTAGACAACACACGTAAATCACATAAAGGAAACAACAATGATGAGATTTACTAATATCTCATAAAATGATAAATGATTATCAAAATCATCAAGTATCATTTTACATACAATTCAAATTTAATGATACTGAACATATATATATATATATGATCAGTATCATACAATGATATATAAAGTGTCACTGTCTCAATGTCTATGTGGTTAGTGTTTGTGTATATGGTGAAAATCATATTACCAGAGGCTAGCAGTTTGCTGCTTAAATCCCATTGACATCCCACAAAACCTATATTAAAACCACTAACACAAATCCCATTACAATCCATTAACATCCTATGAAATCCCATGAAATCTCATGAAAACCCATTAAATCTCATTAAATCCCATGAAAAAATCCAGTAAAATTCCATTAAATCTCTCCCAACAAGTAAAGTCATCTCCTGAGTCTCGCAGGTGTCTCCGGTCTTGGCCGAGATTTCTCCAGAGGCTGGATGCCGAAAGGAAAGGCGGCCATGGCATGGAGTCCATGGTAAAAAAAATATTACCCTCTGGTAAACGTTTACATAGCTATTGAAAATGGTGATTTATAGTGGGTTTATCCATTGAAAATGATGATTGTCCATAGTTATGTTAGTTTACCAGAGGGTACAATCTGGGTAAATTATAACGACCTCACTGTTCTCCCGAGCCCTGGAATCATGGTTAAGAAGGGACATCATCCCCAAATGGCCGCAATTCAGGTTAGTGAAATATGATAATTTACCCAGAACCATGGGATGTATGGCAAAATAGTCGAACATCAGCTATATAATTTGATTTCCTGTGTATATAGTTATATTATATATCATGATGTTTTTTGTCTAAAATGATGATTCAATTGGATTTAACAACATTATGTGTGTTGGTGTATAACCCTGATGATCCAGTTCGGTATGTCTAGCATAAACCCTAGTAAAATTGGAGTTGTGTTTACAACTTAGCTATTGCTTTGGGGGCCTGACCTTGTATGTATAGTGGGTATATGCATATAAGTCCATCATGCAAGATGAGTCGTCGTCCGAGGTTGAGACTATTCGCGCTCCTTGATCGAAGCATGGTGCGTGGATGGGGATAGTGGATGTAACGAAATGGCAACATATTGTCAGAGATATTAGATATATGAGTATGGGTCAATACCTATAGATACATTTTTAGTGGGATGAACATCCATTTACCAGCTATTTTGGGGTTCACTAGGTACCAGGGTTTTGACCCATCCCCATATTAGTCATATCCATCATGATTGAAATATATTGTAACTGATTGTCCATGGGTGTTTGCATGCAATATTTGGGATCAATGTGGAAAACCCAGAATCAGGTGATTGATCCCTTTTAAAACGTCTTCCTATATTGGTGTAGATTCAACATTGCAAGACGATATGTTTATTAATATATATATATATACATATCATACTATTTGTACTAAATATTTATTTACACATGCACTATATATATATATACACACTAGACTATATTTGTTATATATATATACACTAGACTATATATATATATATATGTGTGTATACGCCGTACATACTATGTACCTTAGATATACATAGCCGTTTTTCCATCGTTTTTCATCTTGGGAGTCCTTATTCACAGCTCGCAGCTTCCACCATCTCCCCAGGACAGGGGACAGAAAATATACACCTTATAGTTAGTATATACGATTATATATATAGACTTATACATATTATTTCATATATACGTAGATTATATTTATCTGTATAATTGTAAATATACATACATATAGTTATTACATTTAAGTCTATGTATAATTACGTATTTGAATACTACAATATCATGTTTAACCTGAGGCCACGGCAGTCGCCTCGCTGCCTCTGGTCGATTTGCGACAGGCCTTTTGTAGTAAAGCTATGGAAAAAAAAAGACAGGTTGGGGCCCCAAACAACTATATAACAACTAGGTAGTTAAGAACATAAGTTGGTAGTAACTATGTTTTGCTATGTAATAACTACGTGATAACGATGTGATAAGTATGTTGAGTTAGGCTGGTAAACATAACTCCAATTATTATAGGTCGTTATTTCATCATATATGGAAGTGGTGAATTGGATGTAACAATGTAACAACCATACGTTACGTTAGATATTTACCACATTTTCAGGTGTTTTCATCGTATTTACTGTAAATACATCGGTCTCATAGACCGAGACCTCAAAGTGTTGAGTTGTTCTTCTGCTTTTGGGGTGGAGGCTAGCATATAAAGGTATCGTCGTATACATATGATTTTTATTGATTTTTGATAGATTTAGTTCAGCAGGTGTTTACATACAAGAAAACACAGTACAATCGAACAAAGACCTAGTCAAAATTTATGGGAATGTGGGTGTTTGGTGGCTTCGAATATGTTTTTCAACGCTCATTTCCTGATGGTCTCAAGGGACCCCTCTAGTGGTGTTTGCACTGCAGTCTTGGACTTTTTTCTCGGTTTTGCACTGAAAATTGGTTTATCTGCAAAATGGGTCATGTAATGAATAGGGGGAGTACGGGACCCCTGACCCCATTTTTAGATCACACCATATCAAACCCATATGAGCAGGGTTCAAAATCCCCCTGTCATTTCATTATACTTGTTCGGTAATGAGGGATTCCCTATCCGATTATTATGGGGATGTGTCAAAACCTTATACCCTGGTGAACATCAAAATAGCTGGTAAATGGATGTTCATCCCACTAAAAATGGTATTAATGGGTATTGATCCATACCCTTATATTCCCCCAATCATCAGCCAACAGTGGTATTGAACACTACTCATACCGTATATTTTTCAACGGAAACACTTCGCCACCAGGCGGTTGAGAGCAGAGGCAGCAGCCTGTGCTCTCCCAGCAGAACACCTGGTTCAATCGTTTCTTGGCACCGGCCCTGCCTTTAGTAGGGTAAGTAGGAGCAATGTCCAGAAATAACTGGCGAAAACTAACCTACTCACTGACTCGGGTGAAAAGACAAGTATAGGACCATATCACTCACCCGATTTTTGCATGGGTGTAGCTCACAACAGTCCCCCTCAATATAAGCTGTATTTTCACACCACTCATGTTTGTTCAGCACTATTGCAAAGTCACCTAATGTCAACCCTCCCCTTGAAAAGTGATTATTTCATATTATTTCCTACAAGGTGGTGCCCCCTCCAGTTAGAAATGGCTTATAAACCCATTATAAAACTATACTATATATATATAATAGAATTATATATAGATATATCACCCTATAAACCGTAGATTATTGGAGTTATTTGCACCAACTCAGCTATCGAACGGGGTCAACCCCTTGGAAACCACCGCAAATCCGTGCATCCGAACATCGAAAAAATCGTCTGATTGTCCGCTTAAAGGTGCCATAAAATTTGGGATGTACTTAGCTCAAAAAGATTAATATCGATTTAATGTTCATTCAGCAGCATGTTGCTAGTTTACTAACATAGAATTGTAACAAGTGTCACTAATTTAGTTGTAAAATGAATGTTAATAGTTTGAATAATAATCAACGATCGTATTTTTGCAGGGCATCGCTCGTCATATGTTCCACGACGACTGGTCGCACGTTTCCCCCAAGGCTCGCCAAGTGTCTCTATAGCGCTGCTGAATGCAATGCTCTGCGTCATTTTTTCATGGCTACAAAAGAGGGAAACATGTAGTGGTAAATGTCGATAAATATGCCAGTCATTGAATTTGTGTAATTAATTAGGGATGGATGGATATAGCCATGAAAGATCCGCAATCAGGATAGATTATGTTACAGTGCTGTTTGCTGCCTCGCAAATTGAGCAGTGTTTCTCAACTGCCACACGTCCAGCGATTTATTTTTCGGCCATCTGTGGCATTGTTTCACCGATCACTTTGAACGTTTTCGTCCAGAAAGAGTGGCGGAATACGTGAAAACAACACGGGTGGGCTTTGCATGTTGTTTACCAGGCGCGAGGAAATCTGGGTCATTTGCTTTTCTTTATGACCTCGAATCGGCTCCCAAAAAAAAGGAGTACATGTGTATATATATAATTGTCGATGGGCCAAACTTTCAGCGTGGTGATCAGCATCCAGGCCAGGTGCCCCCTCCAGCATACAAGCATATACAAGCATACACAACCTACATGTGTTACAATTATGTGTATAGTAATATGTATATATATATATATACATATGTAGCTGACATAGCTTCCAATCAAGCATTTATATACATGAACACTTCATGAAAACCAATCTTAATCTCAACCAATCATTTCCTGAGCAAACTAGTAGTTAAACTAGTCTCTTGAAAACATGACACTAATTAGAGGATCTCAAGAAATCTTAATCAAGCTAACCTTCAGATGTTTTTCTCTTCGAAGACGTATACGTCCCTCATCGTCCCGCCATGGCCGACGATGGAGACAGCGGACCTGGAAGATTTGAACAGGATTTTGAAGGAAGCGGCAGCTTGACCTTGACATATGAGTTCCGCAGCTTCATCCGAATCTTTGACCTGGAAAACGCTTGCATCACCAAAATTCATGGGTAAATCAACTGGTTTAACTATGGGCCATGATGGCCATGGCTTCAAGTTCGCAAACTCTAAGAGTTTACCAGAGGGTATGACATCATTATAATGTTTCGATATGTTTCGAAGCCCATGAGCACTTGGATTTCGATTTCAGGTGGATGGTGCCAAAGATTTCCCCCTGGAGCCGCTACTCAGCATCCAGCAGGAGGACTGGGCTACGCATGCGAACATTGGCGAAGCTGAAATCAGATATAAAACTGGAGGTTTCAATGGGAAAATCACCTCTAAATATGGAAGTTTTTCATGAGATTGCTTGATTATCCAGTGGTGAATGGAGTGGGGGGCTGGGCTATAGGTATGAAACGATTTCGTATTATTCATATGGAACCGTTTGGATCTAAAACTTCCAGCTTCGTATTATTTCAGACCCTGCAATTAGGGCCTGACACTTTGAACACCGAACATGTCAGACCCTGGCATTTTTGGCCGATGTGTGATTTGTGATGGGTTTTGTCAATAGGTTCTGGTTGGTGGTTTCAAAATGTTTCAAACATTTTTTATTTTCCATAATATATGGGATAATCCTTCCCATTGACTTTCATAATTTTCAAGATAGATAAGACCACCAACCAGTGTTGATATTGTTATGCAAAAAATGACATGACAATAGTTAAAACATGTTAAAACCCTTGGGACTCGTGAGAACATGATGTTGGTTGATCCAACCCCTTTCCACTTGAAAACATACCATGTTGAAAACAATCATCCATTTTACCCGGAACTATTTCCTCAAGCTTTTGAAGTTCTTCGGCCGGGAGTTGTCAGGGATGTTTTTGGGAGGATTGCCATACAGGTCGCCTAAGAACATCATGAACATCTCGACATCCCCAAAATTTAGCCCCCCAGGGCCACGGAAATTCATTGATAAGGCTCTGAAAAGTGGGTTATTCATTCCATTCATTGGTTGATCATGATGAAAAAGAACATAGAAATTGGATTGTCTGCCCGGCTACCCATAATTTTCAAATGGTCATCAAGTCACGTTTTTTTTTTTCATTAACACGGATTTATGTACCCATTGAATCCCATAATCAGGATTCTCTTCATCGCGATGGATGACCATAAATGTCTAATCCCATGTTCTGACCTGCCATGATGCGTAGCCGTCGAGGATGCCAGCAAAGTCACAGTCCAAGAACTGTGGCTGGGCAATTCCGACGGAAGTCCAACCCCATGGGCGGTCGCCTACAAGTGGAGGCAACATCCGCATCGATAGCTGGCATCGCCTGCCTTTCAATAAGCGTCAAGAAGCTGCCTGGTACCACCAAAAAATGGTGAAATGAACTTCTGAACTGAAACTGACTAAGATATACATAGATATACTAAAATCATCCAAAAGGAATGTTTCGTTCACTCTTTATTAGGCAAAAATTGGTCAGCCGTGCTCTCATCGTGGCTGTTCTCAGGTGCCAGCAGACATTCAAGTCACAAAGTCTTGGCTTGGTGTGGCTGGAGGCAAGTGGGAACATCATGGAAAATCCACATTGCTTAGTGAAATCCCACATGGGTATGGATCAATACCTATTAATACCATTTTTAGGGGAATGAACATCCATTTACCAGCTATTTTGATGTTCACCAGGGGTACAAGGTTTTGACACACTGCCACATTTGAGTCATGGTTAGGATTTGGAAAATCATCCCACAATAGCCGAACATCCCAACATTTCAGGTGAGTGAAATATGTGAAACATGATCATAATATGATCATTATCATCATTATCATTTCTGGTTGGTGGTTTGGAACATTTGGATTATTTTTCCATTCAGTTGGGAATGTCATCATCCCAACTGACGATTCGTCCATCATTTTTCAGAGGGGTAGGTCAACCACCAACCAGATTTATACATATATTTATACCATCAAACTTACCCAGATTTTTCACAAAGTCACCCAACTGGTCCGCCAGGATAAGAAGACGCAACGCGACAGAATGTCCAGTTGGTCCAGTTGGCCATTGAAGGCACAGCCGCTGCCCAGCCGATGGTTCGCACCTGACGAGACGAAGGAGGTGCCGGAAGGGTCGGTTGCCGTTACGGTCACCGGACGAAAGCGGTGATTTCTGCCATGGAAAGCCATGGAAAAGATATGGGTCAAGTTATGGGATTTTACTAAGGAAAAAACATTGGGATTTGAGAGATTTAAGATGAAGGAACTTGGATTTCACCAGCATACATGGGGATTTGAGCAAAGAGGCGACTTCATGTGCACAATTGGTGATGTATCATGATGGAACGGACAACAAAAATAGATTTTGGTGTAACCAGAATCAAAATTAAACCACCAAAAGAGGATCATAACCAGATTTCGTTCACAATTTAGAGTTGGTAAACATGGGGTTTCGTTCTGGATGTCAACTCTACCAGCTTGGATCAACCGTTCGAAATCACCTTGAGATGGCAAGATGGTGGTCGTGACGCCGTGACGTCCAAGTTGGATGATTGGACATGGAAAACCAAAACCTGGTGGGGGATGGTTTCATGTTGGGGATTGGGATGATTGGGATGATTGTGGTTCTGTTGGGTTCCAAGAATGTTCTAAGATGTTTAAAAAGAAATGAACATGACATAACCTCCGGAGTCTTCAACCATGGGAAATCCTTGAAGTAGTCATGGAGGTTTCGCTCGCTGGGAAGATAAGCGAACCCACAGAGGGTTTTCCAGCACGGCAACCAGATACCAACCATTCTATGGGGATACTTGATCACAATTGGATCTCCCAGGATATGTTATAGATATGATATATTAGACATGTATCATATCACCACAAAATACCACAAAATACCACAAAATACCACAAATACTGTTTATGACATGATTTGCCGTCCAACTTTACTCCAGCAGCAACTCGCAGCGGAACCTGCCTGCAGGCGCTAGTGCATCTCGAAGAAGCCTTGAGATCTTCGCGTATGGCCGTTTTCTCAGCGCCGACTGAATTGCATAGAAAGCTTGGTGCAAGATGTGTTTTTCAATTTCAAAATCCACAAGATTCGAGAGATATGTTTGAATTCAAAGAACAATCTAAACCAGAACCCCCCCAAAAAATGGGGGTCAAGTCCAGTGTTTCCGGTTTCGATGTTCAGCTGAGGTTGTGAAACCAAGACACGCCGCATGTGGACAGGCCGTGCAACATGTGGATCGCATGGGAAACGCCATGAATCCCAGCGATTTTGGGGTGAAGCCTGGGGGGGTTCATGGCGAGTCATGCCTAATACCTAGATAGGGGGCTGAAGCCCACTGTGATTTCATATACCCCCAGTATCCGTTTTCTATGAAAGCCATGGCACATTCAGTTCAATGATGGTTTTTCATATGTTTACTGGATAGCATTAGTGATTAAAAATGGCAGGAGCTGACAGTTGGGTGCCTAATCCTCCCGTTCCGGTGAGCATTTATCAAACGTAGTTGCTTATCACCAAAGGCATGGAGCAGACTGTCACACAAAGCATGTGTTAAATACGGGGTTGGACCTCAAATCGGATTCTGATTGGTGGTTTGGAACATTTGGATTATTTTTCCATTCAGTTGGGAACGTCATCATCCCAACTGACGATTCGTCCATCATTTTTCAGAGGAGTAGGTTGAAACCACAAACCAGATTATGGTCATGCTGCTGTTGCTGCTGCTGATTCCTTGAATGCATTGCTACTGTACCTGTTGCCGGCTGCCTCTCAGGGCATGACGATCCTCAGAGAAGCGAACGAAGAAGCCATGAGGACTGCATTGCAGGAGGCGTTAGAGGTCGAACTGGGAAAATTGATGAACATTGGTGGGAATTCACGAGAAAAAACTGGAAGATGCCATAAATATATACTGTATATATATATATATATATGAAAAGATAAAGAGGTTTGATCGACAAACAAGGAGACTGTCGGAATGCGGCATTACAAAAAAGATTGCATGTAACTGTAAGATTTAAATAGTTTATAATAGTTTCGAGCAAACATGTAGAGATGTTGACACCAAAAGCAATTGGCTCAGTTCGTTGACCTCCAGTTATATCGTGGTAGAGTCCCACTTATTCGTTCTTGATTGAAGGGGACTGAGATTGCCGGCGGGACTGTTTGCAATGTGTTAGTTGGAGTGGTTCCGTTGGATGAGTTTGTTTTAGTGATTTAAGAGATGTCAACATATGTCAACGTTGTCAACCCTGAGACAACAAACATGGCTTTGTCTGGACATTTTCCCTGTGATAAGTATACGGATGTTTTAAAGGGATAATCTCCCCATTCTTCAGACAGATCCATCTCACAACTTGTTGGTTGCATAGAATTACCAATGATGTGCCCAATCAATAGTTATTTCCCAACATGTTCCCAATCACTTCAGACACAGCCATTGTTCAGAGGTTGGTAAATGTCCCATTTTGGGGATGTGAAATACACATCTTCAATCTTCGGAGATTTTGATGGGATTTTGATGGGATTTTGTTTCACATCACCTGAAATTCAGTGCAGATTCCATCCCCAATAGGGTGATGTTGATGGACTTTGCCTTTGGCCCAGAGGTGGATTGCAAACGTGGTGAAACTTGGCACCTGTACCAGGCTTCGCCAGGGACATGTTGAGTGTAACATGGCTAGAAATCGGGAATCAAACATGGCAATGGACCATGTCTAAGCATGGATCATGGATCCCAAGTTTTCAGGGGACATGTCCGACTTTGAAATGTTTGACCGGAGGGTATAACTGGGATTTCACTGAGATCAACATGATCAACGATGAAGATTCATTGGAAGGGTGGAAACATCAACGGGAAAACATTAATCTTTTCCCCAAGCAGTGGTGTTTTTCCGGCGACTCGTCCAATCCACATCTTGGGGTCGTTGAAATTGGGTGTACCCTGCTGAAAGGGATGTAAAATGACCAGTTTTTGTTGCTTAATGGGATAATGAATTATGAATTATTGGGTTTGCCACACTAGAAATGATACCAAGATATATCATGATATCTCTGTTTTTCTCTGATGACTTGAAACATTCCCCAATGGATCCAAATGAGTTCTACATTTGGAATTGATTTTTGGAACCCTTGGAAGGTTTGGGTAGCATCTGATGTTCAAACAAACTGCAGAATCATGCTGGTACATTGGCACCATCAGTGTTACGTTCTTTTTTATGAGTTAAACAATTTGATTTGATGGCATGTCTATGGTAGTGTTTGTGCGTGCGGTCTCATGTTGTTATTTCATGGACGAATTCATGTTGGTGGTTACAGTTGACATCAAGGTGGAGGCAATTGGTTCGAGACATTCGTCCCAGAATGGGTGGGATTCCGCGACCAAAATAGTGAGACGGTCAAAGGAGACCGGTCAGTGAGATGGAAGTATTCTTTTCCAGCGTCAACTCAACTCAACAGCCTTCAACCCCCAAAAACATGTGTAAATCATAACATCATCAGGATTACAGAACCGACTTGTTTGGGTTTCAACACATTGACCCACCTGTCTCATCCTGTCTCCATATCTGCCAAATCCTGTGTCCATATCTGCCAAATCGGTGCCAGGTAGAGAAAGGTGTTGGCATCGAGCAGATTTATCCCAGTGTTGGTGCAAGCATCAAGGCGACCGCTAGACCCTCCTTACCCATCCTTACCCCAAATAGATGGGAAAAGTCGAAGTTCATCATGAGTTAGCCGGGTAGCCCTTTTTGTATTTTTTATGGGTGCATTCCCGGACAGTCTAGAACAATCTACTCTCTGGTTATTTAACATAGCCATGGAAAATGGCCATTTATGGATGGTTTACCTATTAAAAATGGTGATTTTCCATGGCGAACTGTTAAATAGCCAGATGGTACATTCATCCAACAGATGGCACATGGCTAGGACCCCGATCGCCCACTGGAGTTGAAACTGCAGACGTGTCTTGCCTCGAAAAATCCAGGGCGTGTCTTGTTGAAATCCCAGGTGGCACGGTGCTTGTAACATCGAAGATATGGGGCAAACTAACGTAGCTATGGAAATGATCACTTCTGGTAATAAATCATCCATATTCACATAGACCCGGGCAAGCCGGCGGCGGAAGTTTCCCAAACATAAATGACCTATAGTTCAAAGACAACCTGTCCCGACCGTGTCCTTCCCTCGACACTCCACACCTCACACTGCACACTGCACTCTTCGCACTCCAAACTTCAAACTTCACACTCCACACTTCACACTCCACACTTCTCACTTCTCGCTGCTTCCTTCACACTCCAAACCTCACACTTCACACTTCACACTGCACACTTCACACTTCACAGTCCACACTTGACACTTCACACTTCACAGTCCACACTTCACACTTCACAGTCCACACTTCTCACTTCGCACTTCACACTTCACACTTCACACTCCACATTTCACACTGATTCTCACTTCTCACTGCTTCCTTCACACTCCAAACTTCACACTTCACACTTCACACTTCTCACTTCGCACTTCACACTCCACACTTCACAGTCAACACTTCACACTTCTCACTTCTCACTGCTTCCTTCCCACTCCAACCTTCACACTCCAAACTTCACACTTCTCACTTCGCACTTCACACTCCACACTTCACTCACACTTCACACTTCACAGTCCACACTTCACACTTCTCACTTCTCACTGCTTCCTTCACACTCCAAACTTCACACTTCTCACTTCGCACTTCACAATGAAACACTGCGCTCTGTCGCACTCCACATTCACAGTCCACACTTTCACCACACTTCTCACGTCACACTTTCACTTCTCACTGCTTCCTTTTCACACTCCAAACTTCACAACTTCCCCCCTCACGTTCGCACTCACACTTCACACTTCACAGTCCACACTTCACACTTCTCACTGCTTCCTTCACACTCCAAACCTCACACTTCGCACTTCACACTTCACGCTGCGCTCTTCGCACTCCACACTTCACAGTCCACACTTCACACTTCTCACTTCACACTTCTCACTTCTCACTGCTTCCTTCACACTCCAAACTTCACACTTCTCACTTCCCACTGCTTCCTTCACACTGCACACTTCACACTGCACTCTTCACGCCCCACACTTCACACTGCTCTAAACCTACGTGCAACAAAAAACCACTGGCGCCAAAATGGAGAAAATCTGCTAACAAATCCATTTCGCAGCCTTCATGCAGCCAGTCCAAGACGATGTACGAGATCCAGCTGCAAAAGACATTACGCATGCAGCCAAAGCAAGAAGCAACCTTGACGCAGCCATTCCAATGCGATCTGCAGAGACTGAGTTGCAAAACACAAGAGAACTACGCGCAATGGCATCGGAAATTGTAGCTCGAAAACCGGATCTCGACGCCAGAGCGAAAAAAAGACGATTTTGAAGCACTTTTTTAAAATATTTTTAGAAGGAAAATCACTAGCGCCAAAATGGAGAAAATCTGCTGACAAATCACTGTCGCAGCCTTCATGCAGCCACTCCAATACGATTTACGAAGTCCAGCTGCAAAAGACATTACGCATGCAGCCAAAGCAAGAAGCAACCTTGACGCAGCCATTACAATGCGATCTGCGGAGACTGAGTTGCAAAACACAAGAGAACTACGCGCAATGGCATCGGAAATTGTAGCTCCAAAACCGGATCTCGACGCCAGAGCGAAAAAAAGACGATTTTGAAGCACTTTTTAAAAGGATTTTTACTTGGCGCTGTTTAACTGTTGCTTGGTTGCTCTTCCTCCCTCTTCTTTTTTTTTGCTATTTAAAAGTTCAGCCGATGTAAACTTAATCTTACTTATTATAGATCATCGGATGTGGATCATGGTCATGGTGTGTTTGGAAGTTACTGGGTCATGAATTACTGATGGCCGCCCCTAAATTGGAAATTTAAATTATTACAGTATGATGGTCTTCAACCCCGAAGTGACAAACACTCTAACTTGCATGTCCTCCTCCAGTGCCCAATGTTTTTTCCGCGCTTGCTGGCTTGTCACAGGCCGCAGTGGTGTCATCCCACAAGCTCTGAAAGCAAAGGTGCATTCTTTTGAAGGAAACAACGATCAAATCAAAGCTATTTGAAAACCGGCAGTAAACAAGAAACATAGCATATTATACATATTATATATATATATTATTATATAATATATATTATATATAAATATAATTATATGTGTCCTGTTGCCACCTTTGCTTCTCAGCAAAGTTTAAAAAAGCTGAGATGCCAGCGCCCGTCTGTGAGGCTTAGTCAGGCCAAATGCCGAAATGAGAACTACTGTGATTGATTTATTTGTCTGCAACTGGCTAAGAGTCAGAAGCCACACAGCTGCGCCCGGATCTCACCAAGGCTCGGAGTAGCCTACCAAGGCAGCGGAGATTTGTTCTCTCCGGTTTCTTCTCCCTCATTTTCTTCTCCTCCGGCTTCTTCTTCCTCATCCTTCTTGGTCTTCTTCGGTTTCTTCTTGGGCTGTGTTTCCTCTTGCCCATCCTCTTGTTTCTTGTTCTTTTTCTTTGGCTGCACGTTGCCCCCTGAGGCATGTTTCTCAGCGCTCTCATTGCCTGCCGAAGTTGCTTGGGCTGCTTCTGGTCGATAGTGTGACGACCCCTCACGCTGCATTTCATCGACAATGAACTGCGTCAGTTGCACTTCCAAGCGCTTGGCGTGGTGTTCGGACAGCACAAAGCCTACGTAAGGCAGCCTTTCAAGAAGACATGATTGAGCTGCGCACCCCTGGCTCGCTGACAAGTCAAGCCTGACAGTGGCTTGTCATGCTCGGAAAGAAAGTTACAGACCTGGAAACAAAAAAAACTATTATATCAATGGCCGAGAAACATGCCCTTTGCCGCGTGTCCGCGTAACACGTCCCGAAAGAATTCGACAGGAAGCAGCGCAGCACTGAATATGCTCTCAGGAACCGAGGTGGCATCCCCTGCCTTTGCTGCAGCCTCAGCTGTGATGTCGACACACCGGTCCGGAGTGAGCAGGGCGATCTTGTCGGTCCTTCCAAGCACAGTTATAACAGTTTAAAACGATGAGCGCGCCGAGAGCCCGGATTTAGGGTTTGGCGATTGCAGGAACGCGCAGGGTTTTTCGCGAGCGCGCGGGTTTAGGATTTAACGAGCGCGCGAGCGCGCGGGTTTAGGGTTTAACGAGCGCGCGAACGCGCGGGTTTAGGGTCTAACGAGCGCGCGAGCGCGCGGGCTTAGGGTTTAACGAGCGCGCGAACGCGCGGGTTTAGGGTCTAACGAGCGCGCGAGCGCGCGGGTTTAGGGTTTAACGAGCGCGCGAGCGCGCGGGTTTAGGGTTTAACGAGCGCGCGAGCGCGCGGGTTTAGAGTTTATAGCATATAGGGTTTAATGACAGGGCATTGCAATTGTCAGTCCTGCTTGCAAACCACATGTCAGCTGGCGCCAGAGCCTTGACACCGTGGACGATATTTGATGTAGTGTGCCCCGGATGGTGCTCGTAAGCCCTCTCAGGCACGCTTTGCGCCAAAGGCGCGGCGCTGGCCACCAGCAGAGTGGTGTGGGATGTATAGGAGCCTTTGACTCTTTGCTTTCTCTGTCTGATGCTTTCGCCATCGAAAACAATCAAAACTTCTCTCACTTCGGAGTCAAGATCGGCTTCCTTTTTCGCACTTGAGAGGCGAAACATGTTCTTCGCCTCCTTCACCCCTCCTGGGTGCCCCAGTCCGTCATGAATCATGACTAAGTCGCCTTCAACGACCCGAGTCGCTTCCGAATTTTCACGTTTCTGACTTCCACGAGCGAGCATCGCCCCTTGAATGAGTTTTCGCAGAAGTGGGAGGTCCGCCGTGAACTTCCGGCGCAATAGCTTGCGCGCACCAGGTCCTTGCGACTCACCTAACGAGTCCATGTCTAAGAATACCAGCACGGAGTCTGAACCTTGAGTGCCAGCAATGGACTTCAAGGAAGACTGTTCAATGGCAGTCACAACGCCTTCCAGCGTTTTGGGCTCGGGCACCAGTGTGATGTACGTCCTCACTGTCTGGTTTGCCACTGCGCGCCAGTAGCTGGCGCTGTGCAAAGGAAAGCTGGTTGGTGCTTTCCGGACTGTCGCCAGCTCTTCTTCCTCCTGTCTCGGCTCCTCTTCCGCTTTCCGTTGCAAAGCGTTGCGCTCTTCCAACTCCTTAGCGATTTCCCGAACGATAGCCTGCCATGCCTCTTTGACTGGCTCCTGTTCAAAAACTTGCTCAGGTGTACCGCCCAGCTTTGCAGCTTGGCGGATACCATGGTCAAATTTGCGTCCATAGACCAGGTCCTGCCATGCATGTATTGTCGATGCGGTGACAATGTTTAAACTAATTTATGATTGCTCAGGCCAGGAAGTTTTAAATTTGAATTTAAATTTGTCGTGTCAAATGAACTGAACAACAGGGTCACCGGCCTCCAGAAGTTCGAAGATCAGAATGCCGCTCTTTTGCAGGCGCGCCTGCCAAGTCACTTCACCACCATCTCCACTGTGTGACCGGAAAGCGGCGTGGTCCGCTGAGGCTTCCTTCAGCAAGGATCTGTCTGACTCCAGAACACCCGCTTTGGGAAGAAGGTCTTCGTGCAAGTAGTTGAGAACCTCAGTGACCATGATCATGGGGAAGGACATGACAATAAAACACTGAAATCATTGAATATGTGAGCTCATATTATAAGAATTAGTCGGGTAGCCTTTTGCTTCGCTTCAAAGAGTGAGACAAAACCACAATGTGTTCTGTCACCTTGCAACACTGCTTTGCTGACGTCACCGACTTTGATCATCCCGTAAGACAACCAGTCATGCAGACTTTCCAACACCCAAATCCGAGATTTGGCTGAAGCAGGTTTCTGCGCAAGGACGTTAAGCTTCGAAAGCTTGTGAAACAACTTCGGGTCCCGAAGCGATGCTCCAGGTCCATGAGCAATTCCACGCATCTGGGCTGGCTCATCACAGACTTGTGGACGTTCAGCGCTTGGGTAATAAAGGTAGGTGTCAGGCTGCCGCCATCTGCCTCCTCTTCGTCTTGCTTGCTGCCACCCACAACGGGTTGCAAACCTGCTTTCAACAACTCCTGTGCCAAGAGCTGCGCCGAGAACTTCCCTTTGCCTGGTTGTTGGGCTTCCATAATGGCTTTCATTTGTGCAACCTCCATCGACACCTGCATGGCAGTGCGCGAAAGGCTTTCATGCTCCTGGAGCACAGCTTGCCTCTTGTTGTAAGATATCTTCCAGATATCTTGTGCTGCAATGATCGAAAATGTGCACGGCACTGACAAGAGCACAGCCCGCCAGCGTGCTTTCTTCTCTTTCCAATCTTCTTCTGAAAGGTCACCTTTCGTCCTCAGATGCATGACATAATATAACATGGCACATGGCATCCAGTATGATTTAAAATTGTCATATTATTATATTAATTGATGGGGGTCAAAATACAATAAAAACAAGGATGGAGAAGCCACGCGTCTGAATGGCACGAGCGCAGCCGCAAAAGGTGGCATGGAGGGTTTCCTCCGGAGAGACGAGCTGCAATCCATTTGGTTTGTCCGTGTCCAGGTCAGACCTCGAAACGGCAATTTCCAACATCTTGTCACTATGAAATTTTGCTTCTCCAGTCGCCCCAAAGGTGAACTCGGAGAGGTCCTCAACCCGTCGCCTACTCATGGGGACTCCAGGAGTAGGCGATTGCAAGGCGCTGACCCACCATATGCTGATTGAACAACGATAACAAGCGTTTGCGTCCAACGCTTGCAACGCCTTCGTCCTGCAGAATGGGTCTTGGACCCCGGAGTCCTTTGCGCCCGTGATGGGCAGGGGCAATTCCTGCCGGAACGCTTCACCTCCAAACTCTGCCAATATCGCCTGAATATCGCTTTGCACTTGACAATAATAGGACCTGTTGGCAGCGTCGTTCAGCTCGTCAGTGCCATTGCCCGGGGGGTTGGACTGAGCAGCTGCTGCCGCCTTGGCGGCTGCCTTTGGCCCTGCTTTCGCCTTGACTAAGGCTTGTGCCTGCAGCTGACATTTTTGCGAGACCGCTTGGGCCGCAGCCTTGCGGTCTTCATTTGCTTGCGCCTTCTTTTCTTGCAGTTCTCTCTTAACTTTGGATTCATCTTCCCCGGCAGCAACTCGTTGTTCCAGCTCTGCCGTCTCAGCTTTGTTGAGACGCCAGCTCGAAACATTTTTGGGAGCCATGTTTCCGAAGAAACAAATAGTGACTTCGAGCCTGAGCCAAAACCTATAATAATACTATTTAAACTATTTTTGCGGAAGATGCAGACACATAATTTTACCCAAAAATGCATGAATCCCACTGTGATTTCAAAATTTAAACATTAAAATTTAAAATATGATGGGTTTACTATTGGCATGACCTGGCATGATTCATAACGTCAACACTTCCACACCAAGCTGCACACCTTTTTTCGTCAGGCCCTGGGCACCTTGCATCGCCGTTCCAAGTCAAGCGTCGCTGTGGACGCAAGGAACAAAAACCTCGTCGTCGCCAAAAAGCCAGAGCCTTGGCTGTGTTGCTGGCACTGTGGCCAGCGATGGCTGTAACCAGCCAAGGCCCTCGCCTCGGCTGAGGGTCGCAAGCAAATTCAAAAGTCAAACATTTGACGCAGGCCAGCTGCCTGAGCCTCCCAGAGGCTGGCCAAAGCCGATGCCTTCTTTTTCCCGTCCGAAGACGAGCCAGCAGCCGTGGACGCTGGCTTCACGGGCCCTGGGGCCACTTTGGGTTTGGCTGCGTTGAGGCGCTCCTTTTTTTTGTCGGAAGCCGCCTGCTGAGCCTGCTTGGCTTTTCCGGCCTCCAGATCGTCATCGGTCTCGGTGACGTACTCGTACGACCCGGACGTTTCGTCGTCATCCTTCTTTTTTTGGGCCGGAGCCTTTGCAGGAGCCTTTGCAGCCGAAGCTGCTTTCTTTTCTTCCCTTTTTTTCTCGCGGTAGGCACGCTCCTTCTGGATCAGCGCAGCGTGCCGCAGCACCAGGTTCTCCTCGTCTTCGGTAATTCCCTTCCGGAGGCGAGGGGAGCGAGAGCGGCCGCGCCGGGTACGAGACTTGCCCTTCTCAGTGTCTCGGCTCCGGCGGCGAGACTTGCCCTTTTCAGCTCCGCGGCTGCGGCTGCGGCTTCGCAATTTGGGCGCCGATTTGTGGTCGCCCTTGTCGCCATCGTCGTCATCATCACGGCGACGACGCGGGCGGTTGGGGACCGTGCTCGGCGACATGGCCTTCTCCCACTCGCGCGCGGCTCGTGCTTTGGCTTGCTCCCACGGCATGCCGCGCTGCCAGTAAACATATTGCCAGTGAAGCTTACTGGTCTCTTTGTGCAGCCTCATGCCGGCTTTGCCACCACGGACTTCTTTTTTACACGTCTCACAGACGTTGCTGCCATATTTATCCTTGGCAGCCCTGGCATCCTCAGACGCCTCTCTGCCCTCAGGCTTGTCGTCGTCGTCTGCACGGCGTCTGTCGTCGTCGTTGTCCCGATGGCGCCGCTCTGGGTCGTCATCTTTCCTGGCGCGTTCCTCCCGGCCCGGTCCATCGCGAGATTCCTCGCTCTGAGACCGATCTCGAGGACGTCCCTCAGGCGTCACTGGCGCCTTGTCGCGGCTTTCCTTGGAAACGGCCATGATGCCAAAGGAGCTGTGCACCTGCCAAAGGTGACACGACAAATCACGACGACGAGAACGACAACGAACAAAAAAAAGGGGGACAAAATTGTTATTAACACCTGCCGGGCTTCAACCGGAACCGGCCTCGAAGAGCCACGCGCAGGAACCACCGGGAACCCAAACGGCTGCGACGAAACATATATAAAGTTTATATATTATTATAATCATTTGTGATTCAATGTATGGAGTGTGATGATGTGATGATATATGTGATCGAAAAACATCAGTGTCAGAATTAATTTTCATTGAAAGAAAGGGTGATTGAATTGAATTGCAATTGACCAACTGGGACAATGAAAATGCTACGGAACATGCGACGTGACCCATGTAAGAAGAGTGCGAAAAGCAGACTCCCCTTACCCAGGGTTATACCAGGCAAGCCCCGGGTAGTGATAGCGTATGTTGCTTTAAGGATAGCCCCCCTGCAACGTTGAGACTCTCGTTACTGCAAACGACACTCTCCTTACCCAGGGTTGCACCAGGAAAGACCTGGGTAAGGAGAGTGCGAAAGTCACACTCTCCTTCCCCAGGGCTAGGAGCATTTTTTTCCGGACCGGGAAAGACCCGGGTAAGAGCTGCGACGTTTAACCGTTGCGACGTTTAAGCCGTTGCGGCGTGTTAGCCGATGCATGAATTTCAAGGGAATAAAACGTTGACGGCAATCAAGATCATGCATGCATCTTCCAAAGGCTATCACTAAGTTGCCACAGCTTGTCGGCTGGACACCTGAGCCAATAATCCCGTTGACTTCCGAGAGAGGTCAAACCGGCTGCGTCCAAACAGCGCCTCAAAACGAGGAAGAGAACATTGATGGACATCCCATCGCCTGCACTTTCTTCTACAGTCCGGCTTGGAAGACTTTTAGCACCTTCCAGCAAAGCAGTGACAACCTGCTCTGGCACACCTTGGAGTGAGCAGATTTCTTGGCAAGTCAGTCTGCGCAACAATTTTGGCACATAATATCCTCCCTGCTTGCATCGCGTTTTGAACAAGCAGGGGGAGCAGTTGCGCACGGCGTGCTGGTACCTCGGGGAAGCAGCAACGTCTAGGATCCATCCTTGCTGCCAAAGGGCCTTGCCCAACTTCTGTTCGTAAGTTGGCAATTGCAGTTTCTCGTTGCCAGCTAAACTCTTGTTAATGAACGTGTGCAAGTCAGGATGATGTTCCCTTGCCGTTGGCATTGGCAAGGGTCCAGTCACAGATTCGCGGCATACCGCGAAGAGGTAGAGTCTCGGGCGGCTCTGCGGTATTCCCATGTGTCTTGTATTGACAATGTCATAAGCAAAGGTGTAATCAAGGGCTGTCAGAACCTTTTGAAGAAAGGTCCACACCTGTCTATGCTGTTTATCTTGCATCAAAGCAGCAACCTGCTCCAAAACCAGCGTCCGTGGACGCTTGGTAGCGATGTACAGTAAGCCCTGTAGGGTTACCATACCCCGTACATCCTTTGTACCTGCCCTCTTCCCCATCCGCGAAAAGCTCGGACAGGGGTACCCGGCGATGTACAAATCTGCGCGAGGTGCCGATGCGTTATCTCTCCGGAAGATATCTTGGAAATCCTCTCGACTAGGGTCAAACCCGCAAATTTTGACCATGACATCGTGCAATGCGCGCTTCTTGGAACAACTCTCACAAGTCATTATCAATTGAGCTTTTTTCTGCAGCCCCAACAACCGCAAAGCGAGCAATTCGCTTCCATATCCTGAGCAATCGGAAGCTAGAGAAAAAACTTGCCCGGCTTTGGGTTTGGGCCAGAGTCCAAGTCTCTGCTTCCAATTTTGAAGCAATGCGTTGATCTCTGCCACAACCGGTGGGGCGCCTCTATGGGCAGCGTTTACTCGAGAAGCAGCTGGCTTCAGAAATTGCTTTCGAACTTTTGGCGGCATGTCATCTACCTACGTTTGAGCCGTGCAAACGGCGACAGGAAAAAAGCATCACAAGCAGCAAAGTAAAAATGTTACTTTCAGGAACTTCATAAGAATGCTTCATGATGTTGACGCATTTTTTCACCCCGGGTCGTGTTTGTCAGTCGGACGGCCATTGCGCGTCACCCTTCACGACTCTGAACCCAGCCACTTCCCGTAGGAAGGGCAAACTCCCTCGTTGCCCAGGCAACTAACCCGTTCCCAGTCAGACAAAGCAGTTTCTTGGAATTTGTGTTGTTCTTGGGCACGTTTTCCGTTGCGCCCCGCAAGACGATGCCCCATTTCCAACCATCCTTTCGTCTCGCATCCTGAAAGGACACCGCTTGCCAATCGGAGTCAGGTCGTTCGCAAACGTTGCGAAGGACCACCGTCAGAGAAGGTGCTTCCTGTTGAAATGCATCACTTGCAAAGACACGCACCTTGCGACGAAGTCCAGCAGTGTAGGACAACTTGGCGCCTGCTTGACCCCGAAGGATCGATGCAGAGAGCACCACGCAACCGAAAAGAGATGCTATCAGTTTGTTCGTGCGTGATAGATTCTCTGCAGAGGGCACAATCAAAAGCTGTGCTTGCCGTATGTCCTGCACAAATGATCTGAGATAAGTTAGAAATTGCAAAGAAGAAAATGTAGGAATGGCACTCACAGGCTGTAATGACAGTTCTCAGTCAAATGTCCCCTGGCCTGAACAAAAGCTGTTACACCAACCTTGCGAAGTTGATTCTCCAAGCGTGTTTTGTCCGTGATGCCTTCCAAGAAGAACGCAGGCACAGGCAAGTTCTGCAATGCACTTCTCGCAGCCAATCCATGCTTAGCCACATGGACCGACTTGGCCATAGCCGCATATGCCTTGCAGCGTTGCCGGTCATTTTGTTCGTCGACTTTCTTTCTTTTTTCTGCCTCGTCCTTCAAATCGTCTGTGATTTCTGAATCTAACAGAGTGCCTTCCAGAAATGCCTCTGTTTTACGCTTTCGAAGCAAGGCCTTTTGCTTCGCCTCTTCTTTTGCCAAACTTTCTGGCAGCTCCACTGGAGGCCTTCGTCGTTCTGGTGTTCGCAACTCCTCTTCCTGCGCAGCCTTGTCCACCGCCTGCTTTCGCTTTCTCATCCAACCTTTGTGAGAGCCGTCTTTTTGCGAGCCAGCGCGTCCAGCATCTACGCGGGTTTCTCTCAGTTGTGTCCGGGCGCGCCCAGAACGCAGCATCTTGCCATACATGTCTCGAGCGCGCTCGAGCACTTCGTGGTCAAATTGGGAATCGCTTCCAATCACGACTGCCAGTCTTCGGTCGGTGTCTATTTTGGAACTCGCAAGTTCAGCTGGGCTGCGCTTCAGATGTGAGAACATCTGCTCGCAGCCAGAGCTAGTTGCAGTCCAGGCAATGAAGTGCGACACCACCTGCAGGTATAATGTCAGTTATATTAAATGTGAAGGGTGGTTTATTCTTGGCTGTATGATAATTTAAATAATATATTTAAACTGACAAATTACAACTTATTTGACAGACAAATACGCCTCTCTGAGCGCGGTTGCAGGATACTTCCGTCTCATTGGCGAAGTTGTGCTCAGGCGATTCAATGCATTAGCCCAGGCGGATCGGTTGTCCAAGCCACTCCTCTTCTGGAACGCCTCGGCAGTCGGAAGAATGGAAACAAACTGTGTCCGCAGCTCCACTTCGTTGACTTGAAACACCTTTGCCAGCTTCTTCAAAGCTTCCTCCTGCCCAAGACCTCGCTTCGTTTCTGCCCGTTTTCCACCCAAGTGAAAGACGTCGAAAGCACTGAGCAAATGCCAAGCTGGAAATTCCGCTTCCAATACCGTCAAGGTCACGGATGTCCATTCCTGCCATCACAAAATATAATAACAATTAAATTAAGAAAAAAACTCGACGACAAAGCAAACGCGCCTTCATCACCTTGATCGCATACGTCTTGTCGTGCTCCGTTATTGCAATTTCCATGACATTGCCGTGATGCAAAAAATGCAAAGGAGACCGCGCGAAAGAATCGCACAGCGTTTTGGTAAATGTAGGCAATTCAAACACCCGTTCTGAATGAAACAGCGCTTGAATTCCCAGCGCAAAGTTCTCAATGCGTGCATTTGTTTCACTCACATCCGAAGACTCATCGTCGAAACTTCGAGTCAGCTCATGCACGCTCGCTGCGGCATCAGCAGCCATGGCCACGAGCAAACATTTTTTGCCAGACAGCTGCTGCAAAAGGTGAGACGCCCACTCTCCCCCAGATGCACGGATGATAGCGACCTTCTGACACAGTTTCACCACCGAGGGAAAATTGTGAGCAATCCGGCTAAGAGGAATGAAGTACGACGCGAAACGATGCTTCGCAGCACACATGCTGGTGAGCCCGTCATTGTCCTCAGTCACCAATTCCTTCCACCAGGTTGTCAGCATGGGGCTATGGAAGACTTTCTGTGCGAAGGAATCTGTGCCGCTGACGTATTCGGTCATCAGCTTGTCCAATTCCGGACTTGCTTTGAATGGCCTCTTTAGAAGCCTGGTGCTTGCATGTGGTGTATCTCGGCTGATGACCTTCACGCCTTCCATGTATGTCTCGCACGAACTGCTTTTGGCGTATGGCCGCCGGCCAGATAGCAAGCCCGATGCGAGCACCTCGGGAGCCGCCCCATCAGTCACTAATATGCCTGTTTTTTTCTTAATGTTTGCTTCCGCTGCTGGGTCGTCCTCTCCCGGCTGCGGATCCTTAAAACCACGAGGCAAACAAATGCGAAGCCGACAGTATTCTTGCACAGCTTTCTTGGTACTTTCTGCAAGATCTTCTGCTGACCCATCCATGTCAGATTGGGAGTGCATGCTCTCCAGCGAATGAGGAGTCGTCCTTTCCGCTCGTCCCGCGTCACTGCGATGGCGGAAGCGTCTCGCAAGATCTGGCGCCCTTTGTCCATGACCGCTTCTGCCAGGCACCATCTGATTTGCTGCTTCTTGTCAGAATAAACTCCGCCATCACGAGCACTTCCGCCGGAGCGCATGCGATGCAAACTGTCTTGAAACAGCTGCAGGTCTGGCGCAAAGCCAGCGCTCTGAACCCCTTGGTGTTTTGCGATGGCCTCCTGGTGTCCCTTGGAACTTTCGTGGCGCTTCAAGTGGTGAAGCCTCACCTCTAAAGGTTTTTGCTCGAAGCAAGCCCATGGACCACCTGCTTCAGCCAAGGAACAGATGGAACAGCCCAGTCTACAGACCTTGCCTCGCAACGCTGCATGGAGCCACTTTGACTTCAGCTCCTTCAGCCAGATGCTTTTTTTCTTTTGCCAGAAACAGAGCCCGCACTTGCCTTCTTTTGTGTGGCAAGATTTGACATGCTGACTCACTGGCCTTGAAGGCAACAAAGAAGGCCTGGCGCTTCGATGCTTTCCCATATTGACTAGGTTTACTTCGGAACCAAATGGCTGCGCAAAAAAACCCCTTCAATGGATACGACAAATGATTGATTGCCATGTGAAATGAAAGTGGATAGTTGTCCGTTCCCATGTTGGGAACCGCCCTTCCCTGGTCAGGTTGGAGCCGAACATTAATTTTCAAAAGCAAGTTTCACTGAGACACTGGCTTCTCATAGAATGACGTGAGAATTGCCGACGGATGAGAAGCGTCTGTGTGCATTTTTTTTTGCCAGCTGCATACGGGTATAAAAATACCTACTGCCTTTAAAGAATGCAGCTACTGCTAGCTGCTTTCCCCATCCACCCGCAGGCGCGCTTTGCCAAGCGTCCGTAGACACGAAGTGTCCTTAAAAGGTGTGTCCGCAGACACGGAGTGTCCGAAGACACGGGGTGTCCGTAGACACAAAGTGTCCGGAGACACGGAGTGTCCGAAGACACGGGGTGTCCGTAGACACAAAGTGTCCGAAGACACGAAGTGTCCGCAGACACGGAGTGTCCGCAGACACAGAGTGTCCGCAGACACGACGGAGTGCCCGCGGACACAAAATTGGTGCCCGCGGACACGACAAGTGTTCGCAGACACGCAGAGCCGGCCAACTCAGTTGCGCTCATCTGTCACCTGCCGCTCAGCTTATCAACAACCATAGCCAAAGCGTTTTGAGCCATGGTCATGTCCTGTAGCAAATCTTCAAAGCCGCTCTCACGGCAATGGCTCATAAGAGCTGCTAAGTCCCCTTCTGCTCTGTCGAACTCTCCCAAATGAAAATCCGCGTTCCTTTGAAGCCGCGGCAAGTCCAAAGCTTCGTCCGGAACATAGCCTTTCAGGCATACCTGGCCGTTTTCCACAGGAAAGCAACTGGGAAGGTCTTTGTTTACCTTCGTCTCCCAGGCTGCGCAAAGAAACAAACTTACTTTGCACAGCGCCGACCTCTCCTCCAGTTTCTGGACTGCGTTTGCAGTCATTCGCAAAACTTCCTGAAGGCTTTCCCAACGGTCTTGGGTCTCAGCACTGCTGGTTGTCCCCGGGAGGATAGAGCCCAGAAGCGCTGCAACCAGCAAGAAAAATTCCTTATTAACTCTCCATTCCGCTGCAGGCATGTCGTCGGAGTTTGCCGGACTTATCTTTGAACTTGAAATGAAGCTGCAGCAGCTCCGGAAGATATTCAGGTGCCAAGACATATATAAAATATAGTCATGTAAAAAAAATATGTATGTGTATATGTGCATAAAAATGTTTCCAAGTCTCTCAATATTAAAAAAATACATACTAGTATTTCAACCCATTATTATTTAAAATCAACCAAATGTTGTTTTCATAACAACTGATCTTACAAAGTTTGTCGATGTTTCATTGAGTGGGTTAAAAATAAGTACAGCTGATGTTGGGAAAACAAGATGGAGGGCTGGAAAGCAACGTCAAAAAAAATTGAAGAGGGAGGAAGAGCAACCAAGCAACAGTTAAACAGCACCAAGTTATACACACAGAAGCTTTTACACACACAAGTTTTTCCACAGAAGCTTTTACACAGAGAAGCTTTTGAGCACAGGAGCTTTTACACACAGACGCCTTTACACACAGAAGCTTGTACACACGGAGGCTTTTACGCACAGAAGCTTTTACACAGAGAAGCCTTTACATACAGACGCTTTCCCACAGAAAAAACGATTCCACAGAGCAGCTCTTACACTTTTACGTAGGTTTTTGACGTTCGGCCATCATATCGTGCGAAAGGGTTGCATCCGGCGTTGGAAAACCGCAATTTTTGACGTTGGACAATCATTTTACCTGAAAGGGTTGCGCCTGACCTTGTAAAATCGCAATTTTACACAAGTTTTATTTCGCGCGAAACGGTTGTGCCTGACGTTTCAAAATGGATAAAGTCGCAACTTTACACCAATTCTTGAACGTTTGCATCTGACGTTTAAAAAAAATCAGTTTTCCCACAGTTGCCGTTTGACTTTCATGCCACGCTTGCATCTGAACTTTCAAAATAACAATTTTACACCAGGTTTTGACGGTTGATTCATGCGAAGGGGCTACACCGGGTCCCACCAAATTTGCATTTTGCCACATGTTTGAATGTCCGACCTGCGCGATCTCTGCAGAAGGCTGCCCGTGCCACCACATGCTTGGGCGTTCGAAACGCACGATCTCCGCAGACGGTTGCTGCGGGCAAAGAAGTTTCGCATTTCACCACACCACATGCTTGCCCATCCGACACGCACGATCTCCGCAGAGGGTTGCTCAAGGACAAATAAGACCCGCATTTCGCCACACGTTTGGGTGTCCAACACGCCGCAGAGGGTAACGTTTCGTAAGCCACCGCCTGGCTGTCCCTGCCGGCAGGAGTTCAGATACAATTTGATCACCTGGAAGTCAGCCGAACTCCTGTGCAGCAACTCCTGTGTAACAATTTCTGTGCACATGACCTTGCAGGCAGGAGTGTCGTAGGAGTTCAAGTAGAAGTGGATCACCTGCAAGTCAACTCCTGTGTAAATGACATTTTTCAAGATTTGTAGGAGTTCCCAAGTTGATCACCTGTAGCTGATGTAGGTGATGTTGTCTATGTTGCAGATGATGAGGATGATGTTGCAAGTGATGTAAGGTTCGATTGGTTTGAAGATGTAGGTAATGTAGAGGATGCAGTGATATAGATGATGATGTAGGTCATGTGTGCGTTGCAGATGATGCATGTTATGTAGATGAGGTTGATGGAAAAGATTGTGTAGGTGATGTAGATGGTGTAGGTGAGATAGACAATGATGATGGTGATGATGATGGTGGTGGTGATGATGATGATGTAGGGAAGATGGTGCAGAAGATGTAGGTGATGTGGGTGATGTAGAGGATGTAGTGATGCAGATGATGATGATGATGGTGATGATGATGATGATGATGGTGATGTTGGTGATGATGATGATGGTGATGATGATGATGATGGTGATGATGATGATGATGATGGTGTAGATGTAGATGTAGATCTAGAGAAGATGGTGTAGAATATGGTAAAGAAGATGTAGGTGATGTAAAGGACATAAGAGATGTGGATGATGTATGTTAGGTAGATGAAGTGAAGAGTGAGGCGGATCGTTTTTTCATAAAGTGTTTGTGCTGTGATTGCACTTTGCACGCCCGACCTCTAGAGTAAGAAGGGCGGGGCAATAAACATACTTCACTCATTGCGTGTTTGGCAACTGTTTTGTTTTTCTGGCTGTTGGGGATATTCCTTGGGCTTACGAGTATTTAGTTTTAGGGATCAATGCTCGGATGAAAACCATATTACATGTCATCCCACCATCTCCAACTTCAGCAGCTCCCCAGCCTCCATCTTTTCCTTTTCCTTTCCCTTCTCCGGGTTGATGCACCGCCATGGTCACCAACAGCGGCTTGCCCTCGGGCTGAGGCTTCTCGTGCATTCCCTGGGCAAACGTTCTCTGCTGGTATTGTCGTCGCTTCGTGGCTACAAACGCCGCACTGGAGTGTTTGCTCTGAAGTTCCAATAATTCAATATGTATATATATATATATATGTATGTATGTATGTATGTATATGTTCTATGTTGGGGGTATGTTGGGCCCATGTTGGCTCCATGTTGGGCCGTGTTGGGCCCAGCTTGGGCCATGTTGTGCCTATGTTTGGGCCTATATTGGCCCTATGGCGAGGCATGTTGGGCCTATGTTGGGCCATGTTGGCCCCATGTTGGGCCTATGTTGAGCCTATGTTGGGCATACGTTGGGCCTATGTTGGGCATATGTTGGGCCTATGTTGGGCATATGTTGGGCAACTTAGCCAATATTAGGTTCCTTAGAAAACGTGGAAAGCCACATGATTCTAAAGCAATAAAGGCTCTCCAAGCTAAAACTTAATATATAGCTGTTGCACTTGCTTCTAAATCACACGTGCTAACCAAAAAAGCCTCGGCACCTTCGGTGCGGTTTACCAATGGGCTGTATGATAAGCCATACATAATATGAATATATGAAGGGTATCCTCTCATCCACTGTTACAATCAACCAACTGCTATCTTTTTAAACTGCTCATTTAAAGCCGCTTTATTTCTGTACACATACAAAATTATATGTATATATATATATGTGTGTGTGTGTATGTGTCAGTGACATACCCAATGGAAATTCTTTTGCGCGCCCTTTGTCGGATAAACACTTGCTCGTTGCCCGCGGCCGTACTTCAGAAACCAATGAAGTCCAGGCAGCACAGGACATGGCCATAGCTTCAGCGGGGCTAGCATACATGGCTAACCATGCATGTTTGTATATATGTATATCATCTTTACATGCCTAAAAATGCACAGTATAGTAAAGTACAGCCTAGTACACTAAAGTATACTCTAGCATGGAAATGGGTCATGTCTTGAGGAATGGCTAAAACCATTGCATTTCCCGTACAACATCACTTTCCCCGCATGTCTGGACATGCTATGGCGGTTCATCGACGACGGCTTTGTCACATGAAAGTCCTGTAAAGGGCCATGAAAGCATGATTTCCAACATCTTTTTCAGGAAACCTCTTTCCTGAGAAAAGAATAATGGCATGACACGCTTATGGGGGTGGGCGACTTGACCCCTTCTTGAAAATCTTCAACCAATGTAATAGGTTAGCGGGGATGGGGGATTTGACCCCTTATTGAATCTTCAACCAGTGTAATAGATTAACGGTGGTGGGGGGTTTGACCCCTACTTGATGACCTTTAATAAGTGTAATAGTTTACCGGGGGTGGAGGGGTTGATTTGCTATTGAAGGTCTTGAACAGTCAATATGCGTCAAGGTAGAGTCTGGGCGAACGGCTCTGCCTGAGCCTAGTATATAGCACTACCGTAGGCAGAGTATTACTGTAGTATATTCGTAACTAGCATTGGTATTAAAATTAGTATTACTCTTAGTGCCGGTCTTTGTATTAGTATTAGTATCAGCTTTAGCTTTAGTATGGTAAAATATAGTTTGGCAAAGAAACGTATGGTATAGTAACATATAGTAACTGTATAGTATAGTACAGTATTCGTATCGGTACTTGTACTAATATAGTAAAGTACAGTAGAAAATGTTTTTCCGCGCCTTTGTGCCACTTGGACGACTGTCAATGCGGGATTCACAAGCCATCCATGGCAATGGCAGTTTTTAACTGCGAAAATGAGGAACAACTAGTGGACGTTTGGCTTTTTAATTGCTGTTTTTCAGACGAAACAACTTCTCTATAGTCTATGTGAATGATGTTTCCACTATTCTGGTGAAGCGACCTGTATTCGTTGCTTCTCCAGCCTTGCTGGTTGCAACCCCCCGTTCGCTGTTCAATCTATCTCCATTGGACATGTTTTTACCTCACTTTATGTTGCACATACACTATCCATTCTTCTCGTTGGACATATTGCTTCCAATACAAATATGTCATACTATTCAAACATATGAACACATATGGCATATCTCCCACCTTTCTGTGGCCAAAAAACTGGACACTGCATATCCCGATTCCATCGGTCCCCATCTGCCTCAATGGCTTTTTGCGCCTGGCAGTTGCAACAGTTGCGGCGAGGGAATGCATACTGGGTAGCTTTTTGTTGTTTAACCAAGGGGACGTGGGAAGTTGACCAGCAAAGCATGGGACGAAATCTTCAAACATGGAGATGTGGTGTGATTTGATATAATACCACAAACGGCAAAAGGATGCCAAACAAAAGAGGACAGAACTGTGACAGTTGACTGCAAAAGCTGACGAACACCTACTTGGGGATGTGGTTGGGGATATTCATGGATGTAATCACGGCAAAGGAAAACATAAGATGGGATAGAACCCTATTTTCTTCCGTTAAATATTCCCCATCTTGCCAAGCGACAACCACTACAAGTGGTCGATATCCCACGAATTTTCTTGCCTCCTCGAGCTTTTTGAAGGTGATGAAAGCATATCCTCTCCCTTCGCCGGTCCTTGGAAATTCGCATTGAGTCGAATATCCTGCCGTAATCAAACAGGTCTGGCTTGGACGCCCACTACTTACACGGGCATCGGTAGATAGAAAAATCATTGAACTAAATGACGAGCTTTCCAGCAAGCCATGCTTGATTACCAGACGGTAGTTCATATGATCTTGTAAAACCAATCTATTGCAATATGAAAGGTGGGGCACTTTAACCATCAATCATTTACCAGCCAAGTTATAAGCCTTCAACTGGCTTCAACCGTCAAAACTAGGGCACGTCACCAGAATATTATACGAGTTTGTCTGAAAACCAAAACATGAGGTTCGTAATCATGGGTTTTTGGTGTACTCCATAAATAAACAAGCCCAAAACTCAGTGATCACAGTAGGATATGAGGCACATGAATCGTCCTTAATCTTGTACAGATACGACATGTGGATGGTCGGCACATATTCTCTCTATCTATTGGCCACAGCATCATCCATAATATCTCCAAAGCGGGGGACTCCGCATCCCATTAACATACTGGGATCATCCAACAATTTTGAAGGCCTCAAGTTGAGCAAGCTTTGCAACCGTATGGGGGTCTCAAAAATTGGAACACCAAATTTCTATAGTTTATCCTGGCTCATCCTCATTCTACCAATATGCGCCCATAATTTGGGGCATCTCGCCATCTTGAAACAAAACAGCCAAAACGTCCGGACATTCATGGTGATGATTCACCGTCCGGCAAACCCCCAAACTTGGCATGACATAGGCTATCTCCTGGCCTTAAGGGTTCGCTTCCTTCCAATTTCAAGTGGTCTGAACTTGTGGAATGACATTGGCTGTATATATGGCTAGATGATGCCAAATAAAGCTGACATACGAAGAATCAAAGTTTTAAATGCTTTGATTGGTGGCATCTAAGCCTCAAACAATTTCAAGTTGGCTGGTTGCTTCTCCTACTCCTAACTCCCTGGTTCCCAGTGGCCCCATTCCCAGATTCTCAAGAAACGGCCTCAGCCAAGGAACTCGAATGTTTTCACAGAGACGTCGGTGATTTTACCAAAGCCTGGACGAGACATGGCAAAATCAGAGAGAAAACACTTTGGAGCATGTCGAAACATTGTACAGTATATAGCTTGTGGTCATGCATCCCATAATGGAATCCTTGTGATGCATATCTCGATCTCACTCATGGACTAATGACCATCCCCAGCATGGGTATAAAGTCCAACTCTTGACCATTGCAAAAGTAATCGTAGACATCCTCAAGCAACTGAATTTTCAGATGAACAAATACAATATTATTCACCAACTCATAGAAACAAAATTCGCACATTGACCTGGGACCTACCCAGCCATTGCCCAAAGCAAAGTTAGATCTATGCGAAAGCTCCACCCAAAATTAATTGCTTGGATTTACGTTTTCAAGGTCCCCACAAAATGGAACAGAGAAGTATGAACCAGCAGGAATATAAAACATAGTCTTCAGCAAATCCTAGGTGAGAAAAAAAAGGATAAGTGCATGGTCCATCGTGGAGGCCAAGTCATCTAATGCCAGGAAGGGCACCGGCACCGCGCCCGTTAGACGTTGTTTTCTGGGTACTTCTGCGTCCATTTGGGCGTCTGTTCCATCACAGTCCGAAGAGCCAATCTTAGCATGTGCCACGCTGTGTGGGATGCCTTTAAGTTTTTCACATGGGTACTGGTCAAGGTTGGGTACCCCAACCCTTCATACTTCATGATTCACCTCTCTTTTTCCCCACCTGCCAGGTGAGGGTTGTTAGATTTTATCAGAGTTGTTCTTCTCCTCCTCCTCCTCCTCCCTCTCCTCCAGCTTCTCCTCCACCACCTTTTGCATCCACTCCCATGTTCACTTCCGCCTTGCCAACTCTTCGCCAAGCTCTTCGCCAAGCTCTTCGCCAAGCTCTTCGCCAACTTCCGCACGCAGTGGGCACTGCTGGACCTCAACTGCAAGGGTCTGAGCGCACTGGGCACCGCTGGACCTCAACCTGGGACCTTCCGAGCTCAGTGAGCCCCGCTGGACCTCAACCTGGGACCGTCCGAGCTCAGTGAGCACCGCTGGACCTCAACCTGGGACCCTCCGAGCTCAGTGAGCACCGCTGGACCTCAACCTGGGACCCTCCGAGCTCAGTGAGCACCGCTGGCCCTCAACGGCCAGATAGAATGCCAGAAGATATGCCAGATAGAACGCCAGATAGAATGTCAGAAAGAATGCCAGAAGATATGCCAGATAAAGTGCCAGAATGTTTGCCAGAACATATGCCAGAAGATTTGCCAGATAGAATGTCTGACTCAGAAAGAATGCCAGAAGATATGCCAGATAAAGTGCCAGAATGTTTGCCAGAACATATGCCAGAAGATTTGCCAGATAGAATGCCAGATAGAATGTCAGAAGATATGCCAGATAGAGTGCCAGAAGATATGCCAGAACATATTGCAGAAGATATGCCAGGCAGAATGCTAAAAGATATGCCAGATAGAATGCCAGAAGATATGCCAGATAAAATGCCAGATAGAATGTCAGATAGAATGCCAGAAGATTTGCCAGTAACAAAACGTATAGATGTCATGGTGGGGATAACTCGAAGTAAAGTAATTGATTTTTTTTGGGGTTGCTATACCCACATGCCCATTACCCACAACATCCCACATAAGCCCATCCCTCAGGTTTCATGGTAGTTCCTGGCCTTTGAATTGTTTCCGGAGATCTTCCTCCTTTGTATCCTGGCAACAACGCAGTGACATTGGATGATGTGGATGAGGAGGAGGGGATATGATGGGCATGAACATGTCTCTGATATTAGGCGATGGATCAAAACTTGTAAAATACCATATTTGACGGGAATAATCATGGCTATTTCTCAAATTAGCAGGGTTTTGACCTATATTATCAATTATCTGACAATATGAAGAAAGAGGGGAACATGAACACGTTGATTATGTTATCTGATTTTGATGAACATGAAGCTGATTCTGATGTCATTTTCATGTGAATGTTTGATGCAACAACATTCTGGTGACAACGCGTCGACGTTATCCTGTCTGGGGAGTTTGCCCAACTCATTTAAAACTTTTCTTGTTAATCTGATGTTTTCTTTTTTCCACATGTCCCAACGGCAAGCTGTTGACTGGTGACCCTCCAATTCCTTCCATAGGGGGGTTTTGTCAACTGCTCCCTGCATATTTTCATATCTTTTAAACTGGCATTATGTTTTATTTGTTCATCAAGGTACCTGTTCCTGCTTAGAGAAACCCTATTACCCCGATAGTTACCTGGGCTGCCAGTCAATCTTGCCGTTATCGGTTTTGTTGCCCCAAATTTCCCTTCACAGCGTGGGGCATTTTTGCTCCAACTTCGCTAGGGGATGTGGGTCCCATACAAATCATCGGCTCCGTAGCTCCTCCAAGATCTATGGCTACGCCCCAGAGATTCCGTTTCCCCTACCGCTCAGCACAACATCCCCCCGAGCAAGGCATCACCTTGGGCAAGTTTCGCACACAAATTTGTGAGCCTGTCCGAGGATCATGATCCCCGACTTGGGTGTCCACCCCAGTTGGTCAGCGGGCAATGATTGTGATTGACTATGGTTAAAACTCAAGTATATACACATATAGTCACATAAAATAAAATGAAACAGAACAATATAACATAATTTCATGTAATATAACAAACAATAAAATCATGTATCATTTTACAATACGCACTGATAGAACATATACAATATAATATCATTATAATATATAGTAGAATATCATAGAACAGAATATAACACGAAATAAGCTGATATGATCTAATATAATATATCAAAAAAGAAACAATATTATTAATATAATATAATATAGTATTATGTTCAAAAATACATGTATATATTTAGTGTCTTGAATCACATAGACTCAGGATATGCCCAGTACACAAGACTTATTGGCGACCAGGCTGCACATCCAAGACGGTGATTGGGACTTCATGTGGAGATTGATCTGGCTGCTTATGGGTACCGTGGGGTTGACCCAAACCTTTATGGCTTGTTTCGTCCGTGCTTCAGCGTTCTCAATTTCCATGCATCCAAATGTTAGTGCAATCTGTTATCACATTGCTGAAATTGTCCGAAATTTATGTGAAACCCACGTCCAGGTCGGAACCATCTTTCCAGCTGAATCATGTGAAGATGTGCAATGCACAGCTCAGGCAGCTGTTATTTTGTTTCAGGCTTAAAATCAAGGATGTCCTTCTGGGAAGAAAACAAACTGTCTGGTTTGACATACCAATTGCCTCAGTCGCTTGGGGGTGACTCAACTATTCATCAATCAACTGGTGGGGGTGAGCTTTTCTGATTAGGCAGAGATCAAGTTCAATGACGGATTGTGTCGCAAATGCTGCCCGCAACTCAGTAACGATTACTGTACCTCTTCAGATCCTTCACCTTGCTACTTTTTACGTTGTTGGCCACGTTTGCATGCTGAAGGTAGACCCAAAAATAGCTGATGCATTGATGTATAGCTACATGGTTTACCCCCGCTTTGGTTTCGACCCAAAAAGGTTGCAGTAGTCAGTGAGGATCATCATTCCAAATATGGTGGAAAATCGATGTTCCCTAAAATCAAGTCAGATTTTTCCTTTGATTTAAACAGGACATTTCGACATCAAGAAAATCAAATTCCCAAAGCGTTACAAATTCAACCTGCCCTACCTGGGGTTCATACGCATCAAACCATGAAAAAAACCGCTGGTGACTCCATCTTCACCACCTGTGCCCGCAGCCACCAAGCCGGCTGGCAGGGCCGTCTTGGAATTCGTCTTGTTGCCTGGTGTGGTCATATTGGGTGGATGTGAACTAACCGAAAACGGTCGGATTAATATGTTTAGTTCCTTCACAATAAAAAAATCAAAGTTCCATGGGTCCAGAATAGTAGCTACAACCCGTGTGCAATTCACCAGCAGCGCTTTGAAGGTTTATAGCCAAGCATTTTATGGGGATAGCTCATGCAAAATAACAACCAGTATGATACTCGGGTGTGAAAATGATTTATTTATTTCCGATAAGCGGAGATTTTTCAAGAGGGCATGCAGTTTTGAGCCATCATTTTTTTGAACAACCGGTTATCATACAAACCCATACGGCACCCATGGACCTTTGAAACCCCAGCCAAATCTGTTTGCATTTTTATTCGCAACTATAACTATATATCGCAGTGGAATTTGCGCATATAAAGACATGGTTTTAAGTATGTTTTAAAGCGGTTTTAAACTTCAATCAAACCGAGCAGATGGTTTTGAGTAGAAATATGGTGCCTCGCAACCTAAAACGTGTGTTCTAGGAAACCAACATGGGTTTCAACTAACCAAAACTGGCATCTAAATAATGACCTAACCAACCAACAACAAGAGTGATCCCCACCAAGGACATATCATTGAGAATGAAAAAAACAGGAAAATACATTTTCTTTCTTGTTCGGGATGCATTTCAGGGAGACATGTTGACCAACCTATCATGATATTCGCCAACAAAAATGGGATCAATGATTAATGAAGAAACACAAATTCAACCACTTTCAGCAGATTCATCATCCAGTTTCCGACCCATGTCTGCAGCTGATTCAGTAAAAAATGCAGGGCGCAGCTTAGGCAGCTCTTATTTTGTTTCAAGGTCTATAACCGGTTTAAAATCCAGGATATCCTTCGGGGGAAAAACACGCTGCTGTTTAATGTATACCTGGAGGTGGCTCAACTATTCATCAATTCATTGGGCGAGAACGTACCTCCGCGACGAGGCCTCGTAGTCCCTTTTTCGTGCCCCTTTAACTCTTACAAGGGTCGCAAATTAGCTGGACAGGCCTGCGACCTTCGATCCACCAAGCCTATACCGTATAACATGGCTGTTACCGTAAGAACCCCAAGTGCGAACACACTGTCTGGGGAATGTCAACATACATACAGTACCTCGCACTGCGTCAACAAGAATGACGAGAAAACCATGTGCTCTTCTGATGTACCGTGACCGTGACACTTTTCTGCGGGTCAACCGATCAAATCGCAGCGATTCGCAGCGTGCCTGTGGGCGCCTCCTTTGGTTTTTCGCTACCTGTGACAGGGCAGAATCAGGCTGTGGTCACCTCAACCCAAAAGCTGTAAAATGTGTTTTCGCACTGATTTGGATGCGAAATTAAGCACAACACTTTTTCCCCACCTGCCAGGTGAGGGTTGTTAGATTTTATGTCAGTTGCCTCCTCCTCCTCCTGCCTCGTCCTCCTCTCGTCCTCCTCTCCTCCTCCTCCTCCTCTCCTCCTCGTCCTCCTCGTCCTCCTTGTCATCCTTGTCGTCCTCTCGTTGTCCTCGTCGTCCTCGTTGTCCTCCTCGTCCTCCTGCTCAACTGCGACTCGCGATCCACAGTGTTCGCTGTCGGACCTCAACCACGACCATCCACGCCCAGTGTTCCCTGCCGGACCTCAACCACGACCATCCACGCCCAGTGTTCCCTGCCGGACCTCAACCCCGACCATCCCCGCCCAGTGTTCCCTGCCGGACCTCAACCACGACCATCCACGCCCAGTGTTCCCTGCCGGACCTCAACCGCGAGTATCCACGCCAAGTGTTCCTTGCCGGACCTCATGTAGGAAGATATGGGACAAAGAATGTGCAGAAGAAAGTTAGAAAGAATGTCAGAAAGAATGTCAGAAGATATGCCAGAAGATATGCCAGAAGATATGCCAGATAGAATGCCAGATAATATGCCAGAAGATATGCCAGATAGAATGCCAGATAGAATGCCAGAAGATTTGCCAGATAGAATGCCAGAAAAGATGCCAGAAGATATGCCAGATAGATATGTCAGAAGATATGCCAGAAGATATGCCAGAAGATATGTCAGAATATATGCCAGAAGATATGTCAGATAGAATGCCAGAAGATATGTCAGAATATATGCCAGAAGATATGCCAGATAGAATGCCAGAAGATAGTCAGAATATATGCCAGAAGATATGCCAGATAGAATGCCAGAAGATTTGCCAGATAGAATGCCAGAAGATATGCCAGAAGATATGCCAGATCATATGCCAGAAGATATGACAGATAGAATGTCAAATGTTTTTTTTAAAAAAAGGGAAGAAGTCAGAAGATAGTCAGATAGAATGCAGAAGATTGCCAGTTAAGGAAAATGTATAAAATGTCATGGTGGGGATCACACGAAGTAAAGTAATAGTAATTTCAGCGATGCCAAGATCAAGCCAAGTGAACCGAACCATCCGAACCACACCCACCTCCAGGAGCAGGAGCCGCAGGAGCCGCTTTGGCTGGACTTTTGGCTGGACTGGTACCTGGTGAGAAACTGGCCATGGGCTGCTGAATGCTTGTCGCACAGGCTGCTCCTACAGTTGGGGAATCCCAAGATTTCAAATCGGTGTTGGCTCGTTTGTTTGGAATACCCAGAAATCGCATGGTTGCAGGACTAGAACGCCATATTCTCATATATTCTCTATAATATAAAGGTCAAACCATGTTTTTTTGGACAACCTGGGGAATCCTTTTTGGGAACTTCTGCCGAAATTACATTTCAGCACAGGAATCGCCGAATTCTAAAATTTCTGCCGAAAACAGATAAAATTGCCAACAATTTTCAATTCTGCCGAAATAGGATTTTCATGGGCTGAGTCCGGGTATAATTCCGCCGAAACTGCGGGCAATTCCGCCGAAATTGCGGGCAATTCCGCCGAAATCTGCCGACATGTTTTTTGACTTTAACTGGGGC